CATGTACATGTACATGTACATGCATTTACATGTAGTATCTGTTCTAAAATTGTTCATAAAAATGATTAGATTGACTTCCATGTATACATTCAATATATTAATGGTACATGTACATGTATGGTATACAATGTATATTTGTATTTTTAGGTTCATTTTCAAGGGCGTGGTTCCCTCCTTCGTTTCCTAGCGATGATATGGACTGCTCCCACTGACTCTAACAACACCGAGGGGGCCAGTAATGGACTACTCATTACTGAAGTGACTCAGGTCAGAGCTCTAAGGATAGCTAGGGCTTACCTTCACTCACTGGATCATGACGCCACTATTGCCATGCTCTCAGCATACTGTCCAGGTAGGAGCTATACTTAACAGATAACACTATAAGAACTTTCATAAGATTAATAGATTTTTTTTGAAATGGTTTAAACACACAGTGAACTGTGGGGGACAACAAGGACTACTAAACAGTGTAGTAGCTGTCCTGAATTATTGTGACCATATATACCATTGTATAATTGTGATGGAGACCCAGTAACCTTTTGTACCTTAAAGGAGAAAGGTCAAACCCCAAGGTGTTGAGAACCTGGACATGAATTATCTAGAACATTCTATTTACTTCCTTTGTGTAAAGAACTTACTAGCTTATTGTATGTATGTAAAGAACCTTCTAGTTTGTACTGTAGAGAACTTTCTAGTTTGTTAGTTCTGTATAAATAGCCTGTGTTGTTTGTGTAAAAGGACGGCAATTTTTTTAGTTAATTTTCTTTCTTTTTGTTGAGAAAAGTTTTTTGAACCCACAAGTTCATCACAATAATTTTGAAGACATGCAAATGTACATGTACATGTATGTATAATATTGCACATGTACATGTGAAGTTCAAATTTGTATATTTAAAGTAAAGGCATATATATGCTGAATCCTTGGTGGCAAAGACATGTGTTTGTACATGTACGTTTCTCTGCCCCTTAAAATATACATGTACATGTACATATATACTGTATAATTTACTTTTCATGATAATCAATTTTTAATTTCTTCCCCTTTGCTTTTTCCCTCCCTCCAGTTGTCTCCTCACTATTGCTCCCATTGTCGAGTCCTAATACTCTCATTCGTAAAGGAGCCTATCACTGCATTGAAGCACTCTACAGCTCAGCCACTGTCTCACAGCCAGAGGACAAACTAACCCAAATCTACTCCTCATGCCCTCTCCTTCATCTACTGGACTACCTCACCACATGTAAAGTATCAATAACTACTGACCCCATTGGACTCCAGTTAGTATTACAGTCACTCTATAGCAGTACTGAGGATGGGAATAGGAGGGGGACATTCCCAAGGCTGGCTCCGCCCGATGTTCCGCCGAGTGCTAAAAAGAGGCGTGGCAAAAAGGCGGAGTCTCTCGAGGAAGGGGAGAGGGTCCGTGAAGCGATTGTAGAGTCTTTGTTGTTGATGATAGTTGGACTGGAGAGAGGACCTTTGTATATGATCAATCAGTTATTGAGTATACTATCAGGAGTTGATATTAAGGTAAGGAATACATGTACATGTACAAGTAACAGTACAATTGTATAGTACGTGTACATTGTACTTTCTGAGAGTATTATTTATACTTTTCTCTTTCTTCTTTTTGTCCTTTTCTCTCTGCACTTTATACTCCTTCTCTCTCCCTCTCCCTCTCTCCCTTTCTCTCTCTCTCTCTCTCTCTCTCTCTCAGTGTAAGTTAAGTGGGTTGTTGAAGCTGATGAAAGAGTTGATCCAAAAAGTGAAGGAACACGATGAACATACAATGGACACAAACAAAGAATGTAAACAACAATAATACATGTACATGTACATATTAATGTGCAAT